CCCAGCCCCACAAGGTAACCACTCTCCAACATGTAACAACATAAATTAGTTTTGTTTGCTTTCGAACTTCATATAAATGGAACCAGAAAGACTGTTCTTTGTGTGTGTGTGTGTGTGTGTCTGGCTCAACACTTGTATAGCTTAATTTATTCATTCTCACTTTGACATAGTATTCCATTATGTGAATATACCAGAATGTATTTATCCGTTCTACTGCTGACATATAGATTGTTTTCAATTTTTGGCTATCATTGAAGAAAGCTGCTATGAACATGCCTGTGCATTACTCTTGGTGAACGCATGTGCTCATTTCTGTTGGCTACCCAAGAGTTGAATTCCTGGGTCAGAAGGTAGGATGGGTATGCTCAGCTTTAGTAGATTTGGCCAGTTTCTCAAAGTAGTTGTTGGAAATTACATCCTCGTTATCAGTGAATCAGCGCTCCGATTGCTCCACATCCTTGCCAACATTTGATACTGAAAGTCTTTCGCTTTAGTCTTGGTGGGTATACAGGGCTATCAAATTGTGGCTTCAATTCACATTTTCCGGATGACTTATATAGTTGGGCACTTTTCATCTGGGTATTGCCTACTTATATATCCTCTTTTTATGAAGTGTTTAAGTCTTTTGCTCATTTTGCTATTTGATTTTTTAATTTCTATTGATTCTTCTCATTGGTAAGTAAGAGTGCTTTATATACGTTAGTCCTTTGACGGATATATGATTTGCAATACCTTTTCCCAAATCAATTTATTTTATAAACCGTTATTACCATAACTAAAAAAACCAATATCACATGTCATAGGTAGAAGGTACCTGTAAAATAAATAATATAAAAATAAGACAATATGATTATATTCTAGCTAAATATCTGTGGCTGGCAGCATGGCTAGAGTCCTGATCTGTGTTCAGAGATTAGCAAGGGAAAAACAGGTGTCGAAAACATTCTGGCACCACACGGAGACTTTCTCCTCCAGGTCTTCAGAAGGCTGGAAAGAATCAGCAAAGAAATAACCTCATTTTACAACTTCTTGTGTCACCCTCCCCCACCCTTTGTCCTTGAACCTCCTACGATTATTGCACCTGCCACCCACTGTCTGAGGTCTACACTTTGGGAAATACGACTGTCAAGGATGTGGATGCGATGAGGGCTTTAACTATGGGTCGACATAATGAGATTGATGTTTTAGAAAAATCATTCAGGTGGCAATGTGAAGAAAAGCAAAAACGGAGGTAAGGAACTCAAGTTAGGAGAGGCTGAGCAGGTCCAGGTGGTCAATGTCAAGGGTCCATAGTAGCGATGTGCCAGGGACTGGGGTGGATATGGGAACAGGAAAGATAGGCAGTAGTATCTAGGCAATGAGTGGCTGAGCGATGTGCCAAGGGAGTAAAAGATGTCGGGGGTGACTGTGGGATTTCTAAATTGGATGACTGAGAGGACAGAGGTAGCAAAGACCGGAGAAGCAAATTATGGGGAAGGAAGCGATAATAAAATTAATCTGGAATGTGTTGAATTTGAACTGTTCACAGGATCTCAGAAGGAGATTCATTTCACAAATATTTGCTAAGCATGTACCGGTGGCAGGGGTGCAGCAGTTGATCAGACAGATAAAATTCCTGCTCTCATGGAGCTTAATGTTTGTGGCAAAGATAGATAGTTGGAAAGACAAATGAGGACAAGCAAGGTATACGCAGGGCTCAGGGCTCTGGGCTTAGAGCAAGTACAGCAGTTAAAGCTGTCAGTCAGAGTAGGTGAGCTTGCCAAGGAAGAAGGGCAGAGTAAGCCTGGCAGAGGGTGAGGTGGAATGCCAGTGTTACAGTCAGCAGGGGAACAAGTGCCAGCAAAGAGAACATCCTAGGAATAATCAGAGGGGTTGGAGGGCAGAAGCTGGTCACAGGAAGAGGGTTTCAAAGGTCTGTCACTGATGCATTCATTCATTTATTCAATCAGACTTTACTTAGCCTAACCCTTCCAAATGCCAGGCTCCAGGAAATAAGAGATGAATGAGAAGTCTCTGGGGAAAGCGGATGTGTAAACTACAGATTCTTAGGCAAGGCCACATTAAAAAGATTCTATTATGGAAGTACAGATGACATGTTATGGGAGCACAGAGGATAGGGACTCACTTTTTGGACCTACTATGTGTTAGGCACTGGAGAAGGCTTCCTGGAGAGTGGTCCTGGAGCTAGAGAATGAGAGCAGGGGCCCTTGACAGAGAGGAAAGGGCTTGAACAAGGATGTGGAAGCTGCTTGGCACCATTTTGGCAGCCGGGCATCCGCAAGCACTTGGGGACAAGAAGCCTGGGACGGAGTTGAGATCATGCCAAGAGAGTGGGCTGAATTTGGAAGGCGATGGGGCCATCGCAGGTTTCTCCTAGAGTGTTTGCCACTGCGCACTGTACCACCGAGCAGGCAGGAGCCAGAGCCCCTGGGAACGCTGCCGGGGGGCTTCTCTTCCCCTCCCCTAGCGGTTAGCAGGTGCCCATCCCAGTAAGTGCCCACTCTGCACGTTTCACAAAGACTGGAGAATGCCAGCTCCACACAGCCCAGCGCCTGCTGGATAAGGCCTGAGTCAGCAGATGGGCGCATGCCGCAGTGCAAGAGAGGGATGTAGAGTATGGGTACAGAGGGCTTAGCACACGCTCCAGGGGCTTGGGAGTGTTATCTTGGGAGAAGTGGGCAAGGAACTGAGGGCAATTATCAGGGATGGGGAGGGATGGACGGGGCAGAGGCGCCAAGGCCCAGCCTGGCAGCCTGAGCTCAGAACCACCCTAGGAGCAGGAGCCCTGGGCCAGCACAGAGCCAGAGGCCTCTCCCTCTGCACCACGTCATCCCACCTCCTACGGGTTCAGGCCCACCTTGCCTCTTCCTCCACTACACGTCGTCAGCCTCATCCCCCAGCCTTGGAGCTCAGGGATGCACTGAAACTTGGGGACTGGAACCTGGAGGGGGACAAGACTTCAGGGTTCCCTTGGTCCACGCGCACAGCAGCCCCAAAGTTCTCTGGAGCCCTCTGCGTTCACTTTTGAGAATAACCCCCTTGGACAAAAAAGACCTCTGGCGCCCCCTACTGGCAATTATGCGTCAACACTCCAATTCCTCAATCCCGCTGCCCACCCTGACTCTCACGGCCTAAACACACCTGGGGCCTCTTTCAGTGGCAGGGAGGTGGTTAGGAGCCCCACCAAGACGAAGGTCAGAAAGCCAGTCTCAAAAGGTTACATATTTTATGATTTCATCTATATAACTTTGTCGGAACGACAGAATTATAGAGATGGAGAGCAGACAAGATTGCCAGGAATTAGGGAAGGGGAAGGAAGGTGTGGCTATAAAGGGGTGGCATAAGGGACTGCTTTGAAGGCAATGGAACAATTCTGTATCTTGATTGTGGTTATATAAATCTATGTATATGATAAAATGCCATGAAATTATGCACAAAGACATAGAAACAAAACAAAACAAAAACAAATTGTCACAATCAAGGGAGGCTAAGTGATGGGTACATGGACTTCTCTGTACTATTTATATGACTTCTTTTGAGTTAATAGTTCTTTCAAAATAAAAAGTTTATAAAAAGAAAAAAAAAAACCTGGACATATCCATCTGCTCTTCTCAACCTAGTGGCACCTTTGGGATGCACAGGGTGATGCCCATGAAAGGAAATCTGCCAACTTCCTTAATAAACCAAACAGTCTGCTGAGGCTGGCGACAGAATATCCCCTGGAGGTGGTGGGGTGGGGCAGGGAGTGAGCGGGGCAGGGGAACTGGACCTCATAGCCCCAGTTCTGCCTGGCAGAGGGGCCTTGCTTGGTGATCTCAATGGGTCTTCTCCTGTACTGGCCTGAAGGGGGTACTTTTTCCACCTCTGATGTTCTGGCCCTCAAAAGGACAAAGTACCTTTCCCTTAGCGCTGCTGGGACTCAGGCCAAAGTCTTGAAAAAAAAGGCTGCTCTGGAGCTCTGAGAAGTGAGTCACTGTCCCACGTGCTGTCCTGCCCACCAAATATTCTAGCTGTACCCTGGGGCTCCTCCAGGACACTTTTGTGTCTGGCTCCCACTGGTCCCACCACAGAGGCTATCTCACCCCAGGGCCCAGGATGAAAACCACGGAGAGTTCACAAATGCTCCTGCTCCGGGTTCTGGGCCATGTGTATTGCATACACACAAGTCTCTGAGGTAAGTGGGAATATCTTAACACTGAGCTGACACTTCCCAAGACCTCCCTGCCCAGAGATCTTCTTGTTGTTGTCCTGATGACCAGTGGGTGCCATAGGACCCCATTCGTTGTGGCCCATAATGCCCTGTGCACTCTGTCCTCTGCCAGCCTCTCTGGCATCACATCGCACCCATGCCCACTGGATTTGTAGGCTCCCACCACAATGATCTTAGATTCTGTTCTCCCCACAAGCCTTCCTGCTGCAGAGCCTTTGCGCATATCTGTTCCCTCTGACTAGACAATCTTCCTTTAATTCCTCAACTTGTTGACTCGTCTTCATTCTTTAGTGCTGGCTCAAATGTGGGTTCTGCAGATGTATCTTGTGTTCCTGGAGGACAGTCACATCCCAGTGACACACTTTCAGAGTACCCTGCTTCAGAGCACCAAGGCCTAGATGAGGGGGTCCCTGCCCAGCCATGTACCTTCTCTGTGCCTCTCCCCACAGGACGAGGAATTTGTGGGGCCCCTTTAGAACCCAGGCCCTTCCCTTTAGACCATGCTCCTGATATGCAGAAATCCAGAATCCCCTGCCCAAATGGCCCTGGGCTCATCCTCTCAAGGATGGATCATGTAGGGCAGCAGGTTGCCAGGGGTTTTGGCAGTTTGCACTCGTGGCCTGGAGTGTCCACATGTGTGTGCACGTGAACCTCTCCTTGGGGTAGGATAGCTCTGCAAGTGGGAAACTCTTCTCACACCATCGTATTTAGGCAGAGAATTCGAAAGAGTCCAAAAAGTTTACACTAGAACTTGGCCCTCCAGGTCAGTATGAAAATGTACTTGTCAAAGTGGGAGAATAGAACATATTTTATTGAACAGCTGTTAGCTTGATTTATAACTTTATGTCGACGTATGAGGCCTCCATTTGTACTCTTGCCCCAGTCCCACTGGCATTAGGGGTGGGCTTGGGTCAGCCTCACCTGCCAGACCGTAAACTCCACCAGGGAGGCAATGTGCAGCTCCCCTGCCCCAGAGCCTGGCACAGAAGAGCAGATAATAAATATAGGCTGTGAGAAACAAATGAGAGAATCCAAGTAAAATGCTTGGCATGGTGCAAATGTCAATAAATATTAGCTATTATTGCTTGTTGAATAAATGAATGGGTGGATGGAGCAGGGGGCTGAGACCCATAAAGTGAGGTGGTTTGTGTATGAGGGAAGAGGGGCTGCTGACTCCAGGGCCCATACTTCCTTTACTGAGGTTATGCTTTCCTTCCCCCCACCCTGCAGGCCTCTCCCAGCTCTATGTGGCAAAGTAGGTACCAGGTAGGCATACTTGACAGCCAGAGCTGAGAGGAGCTAGGTGCTCCTGCCAGTGCTATTTCCCCTCCTCACCAGGGAAAAACAGCTGGGCGGGTTCCCTCCTCGCCTTCAGGGACCTCCCCAAGCCCAGACAGAACCCACCCAGCTTAGTTTCTTTTGCTTTATCCATAAGCTCATTCTGTGGTTGGTGGAGGGGAGGGTAGCCGAAAGACTCCACTTCACCCTCTCAGGAGGCTGTGCCCTGGTGTGAGAGGAGCCTGAGGTGGGTAGTCAGATCACCCACCGGACCCTGCACATGTCACTTTGCCTCTTCAAGCCCTAGTTTTCTCATCTGTAAAATAGTATTGTGCATAGAAATGGTACATGTCAGGTGGTAGGTGCAGGGCACACATTTAGTGAATAGGAAGAACCCTTGCACAGAACACAAATGGGTCAGGTGGGGCAGAGGCCCGGAAGGCCAAACGAGAAAGCGGATGAAAATGGTCCATAGCCAGCCAGTGAGAGGGCGGGGCCGGAGTTTCAGCCCTGAGGCCTGAGGGGAAGGCATGTTCAGCTCCCTATGCTGGAGGCCAAGGGTCAGTCCTATTTCTGCATCAGGGAAGTTGTCGGTTGCTGCTTCATGAACCGCACAGTGCCAGGGGCCCCAGAGGGTCTCGGTGAAGGCCTCAACCAGGTGCAGGCCTGAGGAAGCCAGGAAGCCCCTCACCCAAATTCCTCTTCCCAGCATGGGGCATGGGCCGTCCCAGAAAACAACCTCACCCACCCCCACACTCTCGCACAGGCACAGTAGGTGGTGCTGTAATAAAGAACAGAACCCGATTAACTTCAAAACAGGACAGATGAGGGGAAAAAAAAATCACATTTTGTGAATTGCCCACCAGGGGTCACCATACCCTCAGAACCGAGGGGTGCAGAGTTCGCAGCGGCCTAGAGACAGGTGGGAGGCCGAGAGTCTCAGAAATAGAGTCCAGTCGTGTGGCCTCCAGCTTCTATGGCGTCCTGGGACCACCATCGTTCCCCCAGTCCAGTGTCCCCAGCGCCAGCAGTGGGGGTCAGTGCGGCAGGAAGATGTCCGAGCACTGCTGCAGGATGAGCTCCACCACCTGGTTCTGGAACACCATGGTCATGGACATGCTGGTTTCCTCTGTCTCCGGCCGCAGCAGCGTGGGCCCGAACACTATGGCCACGCTCTGCACGGACATGCGGTTCTGTTCGCCGCGCTCGACCACCCTGCAGCGGGGTTGGGGTGGGATGGAATCAGGGCACAGAGCTGGAGGAGGCTGGGGGGATCCCGCCAGGGTCCACTTCCCCATTCCCGCAGCTTGCCCCGCTCACCGGCACAGGTGCTGGAAGAGCAGCCGCAGGGTGTCGTGGTTGGGGGCGGGCAGCGAACGCACCAGGTCCCGCATACAGCGGCTGCGCTGGGCGTGGTCCTGCAGCTCTGGGGACGGGAAGGGTCAGGGGGAGAGAGAGGGTCGGCTAGGCGAAGGGAACCGAGGGGGTCCTGGCCAAGGCGATGCCCGAGACAGACCAGCTGCACTCCTACCCCATCTGCGCCGTCTCCCGGGCACTTACTGATGGCTGCGATGAACTGGCGGAAGTGCGAGAAGGGGAAGAGGGGCTCCGGCAGCTCTCGAAAGAAGAGCTTCAGGGCACCAGTGATAACGTGGACGTCTTCCCAGCGCCCGTCGTTCAGGTCAAGACGCTCATCTGAGGCAAGCGGGGGCGGGGGGAGGGAACGAGAGGAAAAAAAGGTCAGCACCCCTCCGTGCCTTCAGGCCCTGGGGCAGGGACTGGGGACAGGCCTCACCGTGGTCCACCTTGTAACGCAGCTTCTGGATGGTGGCCAGGTTTCCGCTGATGCGGTACAGCCCGTCGATGTCTAGCCCTGGAGAGAGAGAGGCGCTGACTCTGGGTTTAATGGGATGGGGCTAAAGCCCCCCTCTATGATCCCTACTTAGGAGCTCCCGGTCTTTCCCTCCACCCCCCGCACCCCTGCGCCCCCCCGGGGTGTCTCCATCATGGGGTCCTGGAAGGAGGCCGTCAGGCGCTCGGAGGCCCCCCTAGCCCGCCGCATACGTACCGCGGGCCTCCACGGCGCGGATGCACTGCTGCACGAAGCGCGGCACCGGGCTCCTCTCGCGCTCACACAGCTCGGCCAGTGCGCAGCCGAACACCTGGTCTAGGGGAGAGGCCCATCAGCGCCGCGCGCCCCAGAGCCCACAGGCGCCCCGCTCGCCCGGTCCCTCCAGTACCTTTGATGTAGCCCTTCTCCCGCAGCGACTGCAGCGTGGGCCGCCTCAGCAGAAACTTGCGGAGCTTGTGCCGGACCTTGCTCAAGTCTCTCTCCTGGCTCCCAGGGTTCAGGGTGGGCGCAGCTACCGCAGGGAATGCGGGGCGAGTCAGTCGGTGGCACCGGGGTGGCCCGGTAGGCCCCAGCCTGATCGTTACCACCCCCCAAAAGATGCCCTCCATCCCCTACCCCACCCCTGTCCCCACGCACACCTGCTCCGGGCCGCGCCTCATCCTCCCGCCAGCTTCCCAGGCGCTCACTGGACCCAAAGTCCACACTGCTGCTCTCGCTTTCCTCCTCCGGGGGCAGGTCTGCGGACTAGAATCGCACAGCCTGAGAGAGACAGCCTGGGGCCAGCTGAGGATCCTTCTGGGGTTAGGGTGAAGGACCCAAAGTGCCCTCCCAGTGGGCCTGGCGATACCCTCAACCCCATCCCCGCAGATTTCACTCTTCCCTTAACCAGGTTAACTCCTCTCGCCTCCACCAGGGACCCTCAGAACATTCACCTCCCTTAGCTGCATGGAGCCCCTCAGGTGTTGGAGACAGTCATCTTGTTCTGCCCTACCCACCTCCCAGTTCCTGGCACCCTTTTCCTATATTTTTACTCGGCAACTCTGTACACACTCTACTAGGTCAGATTCCTCCCTAAGCGGCTCCCAGTTTTGAGCTTGCAGTTCCAGCTGTGACCTGAGCACTACCAACAACTACACCAGCATCACCTCCCTGAATCTGGATTCCTACCTCTAGTAGTATAGCCAAACACTACACCCAATGTTGGCTCCTAGGGAATGAAGGGTCAAAAAGCCCAAGGGTGTTTCCAGGTAAATAGCTGTCAGATGGGGCCTGTCCTACCTCTACTTATGCACTTGATATTTTGAATGATAGACTCTTCAATTCAACCCTTTTAAGTTTTATCTTCTAGTTTCAGCCTGTCGTTCCAGCTCAGGCTGTTTCTTAGATATTTTCTTTTCCTCCTGCCTCCCTTGAAATGCGACATCCATGTAGGATGTGCCTCCACCCCTACCTGGAGAGTCCTGCAGGGCCATCCTCAGAGGCTGGATTCACATACTTAAGAAAGGCTGTTTCTTCAACAGCTCTTTTGCCATCCAGCCATGAGGGGGGACTGCATCCGTAGGGAGGGGCACTACCCACTGGTGCCATGGAGCTCCCAGTGCCTAAGTAGAGGGCTCCACCCACAGTAGGCACAGCTGCCCTGCATAATGGCCAGCCATCCCCTCCCCCACCAGCCCTGGAGGCCCCAGGCTCTGCCTACCAGCTCCTGGATGCCCTGGACAATGGCTTTGTGCCAGGTGCTGATGATGGCCTCCGAATCGTGCTGGATCAGGTACTCTGAGCCATCTCGGCTCCGCAGCTGGAGGGACACAAATCACTCAGTCATCTCTGGTTCCTTGGGTCTATCCCTGTCCCCAGGAACTCAGAGCCTAATGGAACAAGGGTCTCACCCCAGGTCGAGATGTTCTACGTCATTAAAAGCAGTAGGTGACAACATCTCTGTTACAGATAAGCAAACTGAGGCTCAGTGACTTTACACAATGGCCTTGTTGATACAAAACTAGTGCATGATGGAGGAAAGATCTGAGTGAACCAGATCTGCATGGCTCAATTGTCTGGTACACTTTTCCATGCCCATCCCACCTCCTCATGAACCACAGAACATGGCAGGCCTTGCCCAGGGCACTGGCCAGCAAAAAAGGCAATGAAAGAAACTCCCTGTGGAGGCCCCTTGTCACTAGAATTAACAATGAAGAAAATATTAGGAAGAAAGGCCCTGACGGCAGATCATGGCTGATCCCAGAGAAATCAAGCATTCCCTCCACCCCATATACACACTGGGGACCTAGGAGTGTTGTCTCCCTTTTGCAGCCACAAGTCCTACCCCTCTCCCACCCTCCGGCCTGGGCAATGCATCCTCTTAGAGCCCACTTTATCAAGAAACACAAATTGAACAAAACTCAAGGGGAAAGCTTTCTGACTGCTCAAAGCTCTTTCTGACTAGCAGGTTGGGAGCACCAACCCACTTACTCTTATTCACTCCAAGGAAACATGTACATGGTTTGGAGAGGTCTGTGAGCTGGAGGAAGTACTGCCCTACAAGTCTGCTGGATGCTTCATCCTGACCACAGGCCATATTCTTCCTTAAGGAGCCCCAGAGTTTGGGTTTCTAAAGCCACTATTGTATACTTTTGAGAAGCCAGCAGATATCAACAGCCCAGGCTCTTCTGCAAACTGACTGCTGTCGAGTGTCCTTATTCCCTAACAAATCTCCGAAGAACAGAGTGAGGTGGTCGGCAACTTGGACAGATCTCTCATCAGCCTCTGGCTCTGAGTGAGGACCAAGACTTCAAGGTTAATGCGAACATCTGGTTGTGCCAGCTCACAACAACCCTGCCCCCTGGGTCCAGTGAGAGCCAGAGTCGGCAGACAACAGGATACAACTTCTAGAATCATAGAATCTTTGACTGCCCACCTTTTAAACTTAGACTTGAATGCTATTTAAACTGCTTTTAAAAATTTAAAAAAGAAGATAATGCATGTTCCACCCCACCCCCATCCCGACAAAGAATAGTAAACCTTCAGCAGGCAGCTAGCACAGCCCCACTCGAAGCTGACAGAGTTCCACCTCTATTATCCCAGAGAATAGCCTAACGATGCTTCTAAAACAATTATTATTTTTGGAAGCTCTCTCAAAACATAATTGATTCATATTTTGAAAGTTTCGTGCAGCAGGCAAAGCCATATAGTTACATAGCAATATATTTCACAAAACGTTTATCCTGTTGAATGGACAGGTGAGCTCTGCAGTCCCAAACCAACTGTTTTCGGAGGACTATTACTGAAGTTTTCTGTGGCTCTGGGGTGACTAGGAACAGCAGCTGTAAAATCTTGCCAGGCCCAGCTAACCTGGCCATGGTATAGAATTGGCGGTTGTCCCTGGAGAAAAATCCTAGAGTTGCCTGTAGGCCACTCCTGAGTAGAGGGAAGGCTGGATGGAAACTGCCAGCCAGGAGGCGGCTCCTCAACTTCCATTCAGGACTGCCAGCCTTCCCATCAGCTCGAGGAGCTTCCAGGGGGTACCATCTGCCTTCCAGTCCTTGCCAGAAAAGACAACTCAGAAGTGTTAATTCAGTTTCTGAATTCAGTTTCATCAAAAGTCCAGCTTTAGAGGTGACACTTTCTAGAGCATTGGTTGAAGGAGGTCCTTCTAGCTCAGGGAAGGAACACACCTAGCAAAATGGATGTCCCTCCTCGATTTGACACCCATGGCAGACATTGCTAGTTGATCACAGCATTCTACTCTGCTAAGCCTGGAGAAGACTTCAGACCTACGGATTAGAGTAGCTCATGAGATGAAACCAGTTCTGCAACCCTGCTCTATGGATACCCTCCGTCTAGAAATAAATGAAGCTTCGTGAGTCATCAGAAAACTATACCCTCAAGCTCTTTGCAGAATTACATTTTCGGCATGAGATATGAGGTCATGCTTTTGGCTTTCATCATCTGAAGCAGACCCAAGAGTCCCTTACTAAACTAGCATGAAGCTGCACATCAAAAATTTCTTCAGGGGCTAAGGGTTAGGAAAAAGCTTTGATTTCCCTCAAGGTCTGAGAATGTTCCCCACCCCCATCCCAATATTAAGAGCCATGTAACTGATCGCCCTTCTCTTCACTTTGGCTACCAGGAATTTTTTTAAGACACAACAACTTACGCACCTGTGCTTCATCTATCCCCTAATCCCTCTCCACTTTGATCCTCTTCTCTAACTTGTTTTGCCTGGCTTTTCAGTGGATTTTACCAACTGATCACGTGTGTTGTGAGCTACCTCAAAACTTTTGGAGACTGAGATGAGGGTAAAAGTAGTTTAAAAACAAGACAACATGAAGACAGTGAAGGGCATGGCACTGTGAGGGTCCTCGCCTTTGCCCAACTTGGCCTCTCTTTTTCTGCTGGGGAACTGAGAAATGTGCCCACTGCCCTGGTTTATTTACTGGAGACTCAGTCCAGTAGGAAGCTGAGCTCTGACTGTACAGAGCAGGTTTCCCAGCCTGTCAAAGTAGCCAGGGGCGGGGAGTCTCCTGTCTCAGGCCAGAGCAGCTGGGCTGAGAGCTGCCCTTCTGGGCATGACAGAATGTCATCCCCCAGAGACCCCCCCTACTCCTCACCACCCTCCAGGTCCAAGGACTGGTGAACTCAGCTCCTGGAGAGGAAACTGCAGAACCTATCGTGCCAGAAATACTGTGGATGGATTTCTGAGATGGAGGCAACCTTGGCTTTGAGCCCTGAGAATTCTAGCCCCGATTCTCCCCCAGGTCTCCCTTCTTGGGGCTTGCCTAGTTTGGGTCCCAACCTACCAGTAAGGCCCCTCTTCTTCTCCCCACCTCCACAACTCACCTCTAGCACATTCTTCTTGCTGGATTTGTCTTTGGGGGCCCAGGCGAGAGAGGCCCCCTTCAGCTCCACCGTGTACTCGGGAGTAGAGACCTTGGAAGGCTGCCTCTGTGAGAGACGGAGGAGGGGTGAGGGAGCCCTCAGCTCAGACAGGCCTGCCATAGCGCCCTGGCTCCAATCCACCAGGCTCCCTTGGCTCTAGTGACAGGATGGGGTCACAGCTCTAGAGGAAGGGGGCCCAAGGGTTCCTGGAACCCAGAGACTCTGGTACTTCTTAACCACAGAGCCTGCAGGTTGGCTGGTCCTTTGCTGCCTGTCCACCCAGGAGAGGAAAGGAGAAAGGTGTGCAGCCCCCATCCCTTCCAGCAGGGCGCCCAGTCCCCAGCTGCCCGCCCAGGGTGGCTGTAAGTGCTTGTCCTGGGGTGAATCTGCTGTTGTCACCCCCTGTCAAAGGCCCAGCTCCCTTGACATTCATGTTTCACCTTCTCAGACCTGGCCTTTGACAAGCTAGGTCAGATAAAGACTGCAGGAGTCATGAGCAGATGGGGTGATCCCTGCCCCGGGGGCCTGGGCCTCACCAGGCTGCCTGCAGCTGAGGTCTTGGAGTCCTTGAAGAATGTCAGGACGCCGCCCTCCAGCACTGTCCAGGAGGCACTCCAGTGCTTCTTCCTGGGTGGGAGTGGAGAGGTGCGGGGTGGCAGGGCTTGGATTAGGCCCTGAGCTGAGGCCCCTACTCCCACCCCCCAGGAGCAGAGCACAGAGTTTAATACAGCTTGGGGCACCCAACGGTGAGGGGTGGACTCCCCTCATCTCTCTGGTAACCTCAGTGTCCTCAGCGTCCTCCTGTTAATCCTCCTGGATTAACAGGAGCCTGGCATAGGGAGTGTTCAGTTAACATCGTCATTAGGGCCCACCCTGCCCTGCTCTGGGTACAGACAGATTCTCACCGGAGCCGCTTTCCCTTGTCCACTGTCTTGGTGCGATGGAGCACGCCAGCTTTGTCCAGGGTCTTGATCTTAGAGAAGGAGAAAGAGGAGACAGTTAAGGCGGTGAATCACGGTGGACAGATGCGGGTCTTCCCTTCAACCAGCAACTCCGCATGGGCTGAGCCTGAGTTTCTTCTGAACTCTCTTTGCAGCTGCTGCTGCTGGGGTGCCTGGAGCTGAGGATTCCTCTCAGCTCTCGACCTCACCCAACTCTGAGCCTGGGATGCCCGAGGTTCAGGTTCATTCAGCCCCGGCTAGTGCTGGGGCCCGCGCGGGAGACATGCCTGACCTAGTGCCAGCCCCCAGGACCTCCAGAACGCCCCCTATTTCTTCTGTGGGGTCCTGCCAGGGCCTATGTGCCCCTTTCCCTTACTTTCTCCTCAGGGGGGCTGGCCTGGGCTGGAGTCTCACTGTCCTGGCTGGATTTGCGGATGCTTCGAGGGGCAGGAACTGGGACCTGGTGAGAAAGACACTGTCATATATAATCCCCTCCTTACCCCCCAGGACTCTCCCTTCCCCTTTTGGTTACCTGGGGCAGCTCCCACCTAACAGAGGTGTCATCTGGGTTGTAGAAGTAGGGCTTCCCATGTTGGTCCTCCAGCTTTACCCACTGTGGGGAAAGGGAAGGTCAGGTCCCAGCTCGCCTCATGAGAGGGGAGGAAAACGTTCCTCTAACCAATACAGCCCCAAGGAGTTTGGAGAGTCAAGTGCAGGTGTCAGTGTCTTGGGCTGGCACAGAGCCCGCGCAAGAGCTGCAGTTTAGTATTAAGGGGCGCTACTAGTGAGAAAGGAAGGGTTGGGGACGTGTCCCCAAGGCTGTCTGGGCCCCTCTACTGGCTGCCCCTACCTGCTCTTGGGTAAAGTGGTTGGTGTAGAGCGTCTGCCCGTCCGGGTCCACATGGCAAGACCAACCGGGGGGCGTGGCCAAGGGAGAGGCGGGCCCCGGCTCACTGTAGGAGCCGGCAGGGGAATAGTCCTCCTCAGGGTAACTGGTTAGCGAGTCGGGATAGTCGGTCTCGGGGGTAGGGGGCTGCAGGGAGCAGAAGACAGAGTTAGAGGTTCTCAGAGCCAATACTGACCCTGGCCCTGCCCTTTCGGATCAGGCTGGGGCCCTCCCCCGCAGTCCGCGGGATGGAGGGAGTAGACCTGGAGAGGCCCTCAAAGCCAGCCCCGCCCTCCCAGACCGCCCCTCACCCTTTGGTCCCTGGGGCTGCCGGGGCTCAGGCCCGGCTGCATCTCCAGCTCGTCCTCGTCCTCGGACTCGTCCTCCCAGATCTTGTCGCCCGTCAACGGGTTGTAGAAGAACACCCTGCGACTCTCCTCATCCCAGTACTGGTCCCACTCGTTCTTGGGGCTCTCGCAGCTGCCCACCGAGGTCGGGGAGGTGGCCGGGCTGGCAGCACCCTCGGCAGCCTCAAAGGGTGACTCCCAGGTCGTCACGCCCGTGTCTGGGTTGTAGTAGTAGGGCCGCCCGGTGCCCGCGTCCGTGTGCGTCTCCCACACCGAGTCAGGGTGGGGGATTGAGGCGGCGCCCAGTGAAGTGGCCCGGGACTGCTGCCTCTCTATATTTGCGTACACGGGCTCCGGGGGGTCGTCCACCTGTGAGAAGAGGAAGGAGACTGGTCAGCTCCGGGGTCCCGACCGGGCCTCTTGCCACCTGGGCAAACTTCAGCGAGTCACTCCCTGCCTCGGTTCCGCCGGCTGCCAAATGTCTACCCAGAAATCGTAGCGAAAGGAGAATGAGGAGAAGTTCTTGAAAGTGATTTGTAAAGTATAAAATACCCCAGATGCGTAGGACAATTACACGAATTATTTATTAGTAATAAAATATGGATACACAGAGTTCTCCCAGCTGTGTACTCACGGGGCAGTCAAAGGTTGGGGAAGAACAGAGAAGCTGCTTGGAACCCATCCTTTCTCCGCCCCCATTTATGTCACATGGGAGCAGGACCCTGCCGCATTCTACAACCTCCACCTAGAGCCCCCACCCCTCCTTCCTTCCTGGCCGCGGAAAGCTCCCGGACTGAAATCAGTCCTGCCTTTGGATTTGGGGCTGGAACTTCCTGGATATGGGGTTTGCAGGCCTCAGAATCAGCTCCAGACAAAGGAGAGCCAGATGGGAGGGAGGAAGGAGAGGTAAAGAAAGGAGCGTCCCTTTTCCTCCTCCAGAGGAAAGTGAGGTGGGCTGGAGGGTTTGGTCTAAACAAGTATAAGCCTAGTCATGCTTCACACCCTCGGGGCTCCCTGCTGCCTGCAGGGCAAAGTCTAAGCCTCTAACAGGGCATCAGCGGCAGCCCATCACCGGCCAGTCTTCCACCTTATTTTCTGCCACTCCTTACCCCTTGCCTTGAACTTTAAACTCCAGTAGCTCTGTGAGTTTGCTGGAGGCCTCCAGCCTCTCTGCTATATCTCCTACAGGCCTCAGCTCCTTCGCAGCCTTCCCAGGCCCATCGCCCCTCCCCCCCCCCATTCCCACCTGGCTGACTCCTAGTCCTTCTTTAGGACTCAGCTCAGGTGTCAGGTTCAAGATCTTTCCCGAGATTTCTCCTGTGTGTCCACCACAGCCTATCACCTTTAGCCCTCTAGCAGGATAATTAACCGCACTACCAGGCAGCAGAATAGTACAAGGAGATTGTGTTTTCTAAGACTACATAATGCTATAGGAGAAAAGCAAATTTCAAGATGGTAAACTTAGCATAATTCCAATTGTTTTTTAGAAACCCTCCAAAATGCTAATAGAGGTCATCTCAGTGGTGTAATTATGGGGATTGGATTAGTTTAGTTTTTTCCTTTAAACATTTTTTTTCTGAAGTGAGACATTTTGTACAATGAACTTTTTTTTTTTTTTTTAATCGCAGAAGTTGCCGTTGCTGTAACACCTTCACTAAGCTGTAAATTCCTCAAGAGAGGAAGCATTACTGCTCAAGGAGGCCTCTCCCTGGGCAGGTACCTATAAAAATATTCATTTGTCCAACAAAGATTCGCCTGCTCAGCACCAGGTACTGTTCTAGGCACTGGGAGTGTAGCAGTGAAGAGATGGACATGGGTCCCTGCTCTGGCAGCCTGAACATGTGTGCAGATGGCGGGGGAGGCTGGAGGGAGAGAAGTAGGGTGAAGGGTGACATGCACAGCATGTCAATGATGACTGCTGCTAACAAGAAAACAAAAACGCTGTTGGAGAAGGAGGTGTGGCAGTTCTACACAGGGTGGCAGGTCCCAGGCATGTAGGGGGAAGGAAGAGCTGGACACACCAGTCCTTCAGTTTATCACTCCCGTCTCTCACCCCACCAGCTCCTGTGTGGCTGAGATGGACCTTCCACCCCACTTCTCCATTCTCTCCACCCACTATGGCCCTCCTGTGGCATACTGTATTCTGACCACACCAGTCTGTGGACTCTCCCCCAAACACAAAGGCATCTTCCTACCTCTGTGCCTTTGATCCAATTGTGCCTTCAGCCTGGAACTCCCTGCTCTCATTCCTGCCTACCCAAATCCTGCTCCTCCGTTAGCGCCCAGCTCAGAGGCCTCACTTGAGTGAGGCTTTCTCCCTGCAGAGAGAAGTCTAACCTGCTGGCACTCTACTCTGGTGGGGCTGGATGGCATTCTGCCTTAGCGATCAGTTCATTGTCCATCAATCTGTCTACCTTCTTTGCCCCCCCCCCCAAAGTCAGGAGTTTCTTGAGAACAAGACCTAAGATAATGTAATTAACCCGAGTCACTCCACCCCCACCCCAGCAAGTGGTCCAATGCCCCAAAGCACACAGCAGATCCACCAAAAGCACTTACTGCTTGAGTACACCAGTCAGTTCCATGCCAGACTTTAGCAACAAGCAAAAAAACACATCTGACATTACAGGAAAGACTGGGGTTAGCTTTGAGCAAGAACTTCCTGAGAATGAGAATTCAAGCACAGGAACAAGGGACTTCTGGGAAGGACATGATAGAGGTAGTATAGGAAGGTGGATGACCAGACACACCTCCTATGTACCCCAGCTGGACTCAGTGAGGCAGTGGCCTTGCCCATCCCTGGGACAGCAGGCGGGAAGGGCACATGGATGGTGGACCAGCCAGGAAGGAGCCAGATTCTTTGGAGCAGGGATTTCCACTTGGCCAGGCTGTTGGCCTTGGTCTGAGTCCATGGGGAGTCCCAGGCTGGTCAGGCTGATGGGGATCACCCCCAGTAGGTACAGAGGAGATCTAGGAGGTAGAAATTTAGACCCCCAGCATGACAGGGCTGTCACAAGGAAGAAAAGACGTAGAATCACACTCTGGGGCTCCAGACTGTAGATCAGAGGCAGAGGCCAAATGGGGGGTGGGCAGTGCCCCTTTGAAGGATGCACATTCTCAGGATTGGGGCTGTCCCAGAAGGTAGTGAGGGGCCTTCACTGGAGGCAAGGAGGCAGAGTCCCACCCCCTGTGAGGGATGTGGCAGTCCTGTGAGGGAGTTGGGGCTGCCCTGAGGCCCCTTCAAACTCTAGAATTCTCTGTAGAGCCCCACAGTGCTAAGACAGAGGCACTTTCTTCTTCTGGCAGAGCCTCAGCCAGGATCAGGCCAGATGGGGCCAGTCCCTCCATGCTCTCTGGCCTTCAAGGGGGAGCTCACCAGGTTAAAGCAGGCCTGCCACTCCCACCCCAACTCCTGGAGGGCTCAGACAAGACCCAGACGTAGCCCACTGACGGGAGCCTGAGTAGGACACCAAGGGGCCCAGACCCCATCATGACAGAGACACAGGAGACAATGAGTGGGAAAGAGGAAGTATCCTTCCACCTCAGGACAAAGGATAAAGCCAAGAGGGGCCCAGTTCTCACCACACGCAGCTTCCCAGCCCCTAGTGCTTCTCTTGTCTTCAATTCTCTCCCACAAGCAGGTGGCAGGCCAGCCTTTCTTCCCCCAAGCTGCTCACCACCTCTCAGCAACTCTTTACAGCACTCCCTCAGAAAAGCAAGGCCTCGGGGAAGGGAAAAGGAAAGAAGGGAGGATTCCGATGCTCCATGAGACTCCCTACTCCAGACCCCAGCTTCCCAGCTCCTGAGAGGGCCAGGAAATGGAGGCCCCTGGCAGCCCCTTTGACCTCGTAGGCTCCTCTGCTGTCCCCTTCAGAGCCCTCAATGCAAAGGTCCCCTACCTGTCCCCGCGGCGGCCGACTCTGCCTCCTGGTCAGCTTGGCAATCATGTCCACCATCCTGTCCCCTCTGAGCTGCTGGGACAGAGCCCTGGGAAGGCTTTGTGGGTGGAGCCAAGGGGCACAACCCCGGGGCTGGCACAGGGCAGCAGGGAAACAAGAAGTTGCCTTGAGATGGCGGGAGACTAAGCCTCCAGCCCATTTCCTGTCAGGGCTGCGGAAGTGCTGCCTGAGACAGGGTGGGGGGGCGGTGTGTGCCTCAGATCTGGGGCATTTTTATGTGTTCAGGGACACCACTGGCTGCCCCACTCAGTGCTCTGGTTACCAAAAGTTCTGAATCCCAAGCCCAGACACAGCCACTGAGCAGGCCCCACAGAGGACGGCATTGGAGCCATGGGTGGGGAAGGGGTAGGCTGCACAGATGGGGACAAGCAAGGGGGTAGCTGGGTGCTGGAGCCTGAGCTATTGTAGAAAGGACAATGAGTGGCTGTCAACTCCCTCAAGGCCCAGGGATGGTATGATGGGAAAGAGGAAGCTTGTGGAGGAGGGAGGGGTGTCTCAAAGAGGAAGGGGCCTGGGCAGATGTGGTATCAGAAAGAACTGGTGTCTGGATTCCTCATGCCACGTGGAGGACAAGTGGGATCCTGACCACACCACCATCTACCCACCTGACCACCTGGGTCTGCTTCCTTCAGCCTTGGTTACCAAGAGGGGTGCACTCACCCTCACTGCATGTCTACATACATAAATAAGTATGCCTGTGCCCCTCCCCCATTCTCCAAGGACCCAGAGAAGGTGGCCAGGAACTAGCTCCCCCACCCTATCCTAAGAGCTTCTTCCTGGCCTCTCCTCCCTTAACCCTCTCATGCAGGTGGGTATTCAGACCCTGCCATGCACAGCAGGTGAGAAGCTGTGGCTCCTCCCCCAACCCCTTGGAAACTATCTCGTCTTCACTAATCCCCTCAGGGGTGCTTTCTCCCTAGTCCAGAGGCAGAAACTGCCCACCCCCCGCCAGCTTGAAGGCTGTCCCCAGAAGCTATCCAGCTCCCAGCTCAGGCTCTGACCCTCACCGTCTCACCCTGGATCCCAGACCCCTCATCCCTCGTTCTTTTACTTCAGTAATCTTCCTGCCCCCAGACCTGGCTCCCCTTTCTCCCCGTCCATGTCCCCCAAGCCTCTCTTTTCCTGTACCCACTATGGGCTCAGGACAGGGACACCCAAGTAAACTAGGCATGATATAGATTTGGGGTGTTGGGACACTTGGAGAGATCACATTCAAAGAAAGTCTGGGGTCTATGCCTTACTCTGAAAAGCTCCCCTACTGTCCCCTGTGCCCCGATTCAGAAGGCCAGAACCCCAGAGGCAGACTAATCCCCCAGAATACTTGTCACACACATGACACAGCACACTGCCATATCCTTAGGGCTAGGACCATCCCCTACACACACACATGACAGGTCAACAAGGTTGATGGAG